TATCCTTGCTGTATCTTTCTGTATCTCCTGAGATCTGGGAGTTGAAAAAAGAAAATATATATAGTAAATAAATAAATATTATAAATATAAATCAAACACAAAGAATTTATATTGCTATCTACAACTCCTGCAAGTATTTCATGGTACGATAAAACATGCTTTATCCACTTACCAGCCTTCTTCTAATATCTTCTTCAAGGTGTCTCCTCTGATTTACTAGATGAAGCAGTCTTAAAAGTGTGATGAGCTGCAGAGGTCGCAAGATTGCTATCACTCTAAATTTATAGATAAATTTGAGATAAATTTGAAAATATCCTTTTTGGTTCAAAAATAAAAGAATTTATCAGTGTGGATATTAAAATGTATAGTGGGTATACTAAATCTTCAACCCCAGGGCCTTGTGCATGCTGCACTAATGTTCTATCTGTCAGCTATACCCCTAACCCCAGAAGGTATTTGGTAACATGTGGATATACTTTTGGATGTCACAGTCAGATCTAGTGATGGAGACTAGAAATGCTTCTAGACACCCCACAATGAATGGGTATTTTGAGAGAATTTTAGAATGTTCCTTCCTTCCACCTTGCCCCAGTAAATAATTATCTAATCTAAAATGTCAATAATGATAAGGTTGAGAAATATAAGTTTATTAGAATCTGTAGACTAAACATTTTGGTTTAAGGGCAGTACTTTTCATTTGCTCCCCAAATGGACAGGGTTTTGTCCATGGGTGTTACTCTTTTTGGTAACAGAGGTTCACTATATCCACTATGGGCTTATCAGGCAGGCAACAGACTAGACTACCTCCCAAACTTACTGGCTAGTGATTCTCCTCCCATCAGAAACACCATAGCAGAGAACTGCTGGTGTGGATATGTAAAAACAAGTCATCTGGACGAAGTTGTTAAACACAAGTTGCAAGTCTAGGGGGAGCCTGAGGTGTTTTCTTGCATGATAGCAAGTTCTCAAGTGAGGGTAAGGTTGCCTATTGGAGGACTATATTGACTAGGGTGATTTTCAAGCTCCAAAAGTCTACCACATTATACATTTACTTGGGAACCAAACTGAAGCCCTGGGAAATGAAGGTAAGGAAGAATCTACTTATTTGACTTCTAATAAATGCACCTAAAAGCCCCTAGCCTCTACATTCATTTGGAGATAGAGATAGAGACAGAGATAGAGAGACACATACACAGACACAAAGCCTTCATACACATTATACTTTCTAATCCCTTACTGCTTTAACTTTGCCTTAACATTCTCCATTTCTACCAAAATGACATTGCAAAATTTTTCCACTGGGTTGTAGTGCATGTCACTTTCTTGGTTTCTATTTGCTGGGTTTTTTTAGAGAATTATGACTGGAGTCACTCAGACTTTACACAGGCTCAATACTGTTATGATTATAGGAAAAAACCTAGATTGGTAGGACTTCAAATGGAGATTTAGGGAGAAGTTCAAAATATTACAAAATTAAAATTTCTTCATTAGATGTTCCATTTCCTGTATCCAAGTAAGGGTATGTAAATATATATACTTTTTACTGGCCTTAAAGGCCATCATCTTGTAGTGTTCAAGATATGAGAATGTAACAATATTTTCACTTTTTTCTTTCTTCTTTTTTGTGGTACTGGGATTTGAACTTAGGTCTTTGTACTTGCTAAATAAGCACTTTATTAATCAACCCATGTCACCATTCCTAAATATTTTATCTTCGAAAAGCTTATTTGGTACAGAAACTAAACAGCATCAGTTCACTATACAAGATTCAAGCCATAGACTATGAAAAAAATAAAAGAATG